TGATTTTTTTTTTTTGCCATATTATTCGATTGACCCATTACTACTTATTGAAGAGTCCATACTTAAAACTATGCCATTAATCATGGGATTATATATGTGTGGGTTTGTTTCTGGGCTATCTTCAAGAAGCAGTTAAATGTTAAGCTTATTCTCGAGAAAGAATGCTTGTAATCTGATTGTTTCCCCAAGTAGCATTTATTATGTACTCATTGTGAATTAGACATGATGCTAAGCATGTAGCTGCCTCATTTCATTTTAAACCTCATTAACCCCCTAGGAGATAGCTGCTATTTTAATCTCCATTTGGTAGATGAAGAAATTAAGACTCAGAGATTAAATAATTTGCCCAAGATCTCCCAGCTAGTAAGTGGAAGAAAATCTGGCTGACTCTGAAATGTGGCTCTTTACTACGAGCAGCGTAGAGCGGGGAGGGTAGGCAATAAGAGTATGTATGTTGAGAGTGAAGGGTGATGGTAACGGGGAGGCGTGACACCAACTTCCCTCACTCCACCACATACTTATCATAGTATTTTGTTGCTTTGTTTGACTTACATGGCACTGGTGCACATTTAGATGTTCACATTCATTGAAATAACACATTTTATAGATTAGGAACCATAGGTTTATGCCATTTACTATGTACTTGGCATATGATAGAGTATATTGTTCTTTAAGGATTTTATTTGTTAAGTAATCTCTACACCCAATGTGGGACTCAAGTCACAACCCTGAGATCAAGAGTTACATGCTCTACTGACTGAGCCAGCCAGGCGCCCCCCATAAAATATACTGTTGTCATTACACTATGTATTCTTTCTTGATTAGTAGTCAACCTTTGAGAGGAAGGAGTGACTTTTACATATTTGTAACCCTGTAACTAGAATAGTGCTCTGCCCAGAGCAAACAGTTAATAAATATTTGTGTTTTTAGAGTTGTTGAGCTGTGATTGCAAACTTGAGATTTTCTGTTCAGGGAGGTTTTCTATCCTGTATAAATTGTATTTAGTTCAGATCATGTGTTCTATCCCTAACATATATTTCCTATTTTTTCTCTTTCAATAGCTGTTGCCTCAAAGGGAAAAATGCAAATCTTTGACAGAATGGTCTGGAAGCAACAGTTCTGAAATTCTTAAAATGTTAGAACCAGGAGCTACTTCCCACACAATGAATGAGTTAAAAAGAGAGAGAAACTGACAGAGAAAGACACAGAGACACAGAGAAAATTGAGTCTTGTGGAGAGACAAGCACTCCAAGTTCTAGACCTTCACCAGGTCTGTGGCTTTAAGTTCTGTGCTTTTATTTCTCAGGTGCAAAATGGGGCTTATTTTAAGAATAAAATGAAGCAACAGACAAAATGGACAAAAACATACCAAGAATAGTTGAAAAATGCTATTAAATGTCAAATACTGTGGGCGGGGGGGGGGGGCACCTGGGTGGCTCAGTCGGCTGAGCCTCTGACTTTTGGTTTTGGCTGAGGTCATGATCTCAAGGTTCATTAGCTTGAGCCCTGCATGGGGCTCTGTGCTGAGAGCACAGAGCCTGCTTGGGATCTCTCTCCCTCTCTTTTTGCCCCTCCCCTGTTTGCTTTCTCTCTTTCTCTCTCTGTCTCTCTCATAATGAACAAACATTAAAAATTAAAATAAATGTCAAATATCGGTAGAAAGTAAATTGAATATAAGGTACAGGTGTGCTTGGTTTTAATAATAAAAGAACTAAATATAGATTTTAGATATTTACTAAAAAAGGAACTGCTTGACAAAGTAACTCAATATAGTATAATGTTAAATTGTGAGGCTACCTATTGCTTTACATTTTTTGAATAAATGTTTTTATTGCGGTATAATCTGTATTTTGAAATAATCGAATTTACAGTAATTTAACTTACAGATTTTTGAGATCACATTCACTGCATTGAGTAAAAAAAGATCTACAATTTACTCTCAGGAATAGAAGGGGGCCTTGAATATCATTATCTTCTGTTTAGTGCAAAAGATGTAAAAATGATATGTATGTTAAGTGCCAAGGTTTTCTCTAAAATGGGCCCGCTGTAAAAGTCAGTGGCGTGCCAGTTCGATTCAACAAATATTTAATTAGAGCTTGTGATTTCCAAGGAACTGTGTTGGGTGCTAAGAGGAAGCAAAGATGAAAAGCATCAATCAGTTAGCTGGAGGGAGACAAGACGTGAACCCAGTAACTGGTCTGCAAAGCAGAATGGGGCATCATAACGTAGAAAAGGTAAAACACAGGGAGAACCTGGTGGAGCTCAAATAATTTAAATTTTCCTGCCTACGTTTTTGTCTTTTTCTTCTTTTGAAAAGGAAATATTTTAGATTCCTTTTCACGTGTGCCAGGTGGTTGCGGAGAATCTGCGACCCTGTGAAATCTCCCCTATTCCCTGTTCTTCCTTTGCTCCCATATTCCATGAGCTCCTCTGCCGCCAGTACTGGAATGGCATGTATTGTGTGGGTGGTGAAACGATGGAAAGTTATTTTTGTTTTAATTATGAGAACTGTTTTATGGAGGGAGGAGGAGAGGCAGATCGGAGACAGACGCTTCAGCGGGGATGCTCCGAGGAGGCGTTACTAAGGTTACTAGAAAGAGGACGGCAGGTGATATACAGGCAGGATTTTTTTTCTAAAACAAAATATTTTCAAACGGGCGTGGGCGTAGTGCGAGCAGTACCACACGACATTAAAAGCTGCGCTCGCGAGGGGAAGGAGGCCGAGGAAAAAAACTAACGGTTCCGACTGTGGAAAGTAGATAGCCTTTGCCTACTCTCCCGGCCCTGGTTGCCGCTGCCTTTGTTTCCCGGGGCTGTTCTGGCTGTAGCACGAGGTCGGCGCGCCCGAGGACGGTGTCATTTAAGTGTGACACGCGGCCGAGTCGGACCGGAAGCGGCGCCCAATCGGGACCCGTAGAAAGAGGCGGGGAGCGGGCGGCGGCGGCCTTCGCTGCGGGGAGGCTGCGCGGCGGGGGCGAACCGGACTGGCCCTGCAGCGGCTCGCTCAGGCCGTGCGTAGTCGCTGCAGCCACCGGGAGAGGGGAAGCGATTCCCGCGGGCGTACTTGGCCGAGCAGGGAGGAGCGAAGGGGTGTGTGATAAGGGCCTTGAGTGTATTTGGGGCTGGCTAGAAGGACCTCCAGAATTGTTCCTCATATGCTACTCGTTGATTATCTTTTGGTGGTTTTTTTGGTTCTAGAGAACACCCGGCGTCTGCCGTCTCGAATTTCTCTCGGCCCTTGTCATTTGATTCGTTACCCGAAGTGAGTGAGAGCTTTTCAGTGCAACCACTGATTTGAGATGAGTATGGGATGGATGAAGCCGCCAGAGGGGGGAAAATGGGAGAGGGGGAGCAACGGTAGGAGGCGGTGTCGCGGGCTGTGGGGTCAAGATGACATTAGACTCTGTTCTAAAACTCTTTATATGCTGTACCACATTTAACGTACAGTCCTATGAGATAGGAGACCGGCGCTCTTATTAGCCTCGTTTCATAGAAGGGGGAAAGAGGGAACTGAGGCTCAGAGAGGTTAAGGAACATGCAGAACAAGAGACATGAAAAGTTCAGAGCCAGGATTTGCACTCTGGTAGGTTGATGCCAGAAATACATCTCTAAGCTCCACACAATAGTTGACCCCCATCAAGATGTTTGGAAAATGAGGACATAAAGGGTGAGAAGTTGCTGAGACGTGGTAAGACAGCTGAAGCAAGGAGTTGACATGATAAAGGGTGGGAGATCCAGGTGATGACAGATGTTAAGGGAGGATAGAGTTGGAACTGTGGCCTTCTAACCTTTACCTCCAACCTTGGCTAGCACCTTCCTCTTTAGAATTTTGTGGGACAGAGAAGAGAGGTTTTCACTCACACACCTAAGTTTGAAAATGGAATCATAAAAATTCACAAATATGTAAGATTTAAGGTTTACATGATGTAGACACCTTATTTAGCAGATGAAGCCCAAAGAGATAAAGTAATTTATTCAAGGTAGCCAGGACTAGAAAGGTATCTTGTCTTAGGTCCAGTGCAGTAAAGTTTAGGGAGTTGTTTCCTTTTTGTCCTGCTGCACTTGTAATAGTGAATATTAAAGTTTAAAAATTTCGATATATCATTTGACCTGGACTAATTCCTTGTAGCCATATGAATTGAGTATGACCTCAAAAGTCAAATAATCCACTGATTCCCCATTAATGTGTGTTCCAAATTCAATGTAATGCTGAAACCAGAGGCTTCTTCAAGTACAACTGAGTGACAATTGAGATCTTCCTGGATTTCTAAGAATTTCAGTTAAAAAATGAATTGGAACAAGATAAAGTTTACTAGACCAAAGGGCAAGGTTGTTTACTTTGAAGGAACTAGGAAATCTCAACATATGTTGTAAAAAGGCAAGTTTTAATGAATTGATAGTGTACTCTTCACAAATAGAGTAAGTCTAATGGAATATAATAATCAGTGGTAGCATATTCCGTAAAGGCAAATTGGAGTAGTTGAAATCGTGGGCTTAAGAGTCAAGTAGATCAGCTTAGCCACTTATTTGCTCTGTGACTGATTTACTTAACTTTGTCTTTGATTTCTTCATCTGTAAAGTGGAGATCATAGTTCCTAATTTGTGGAATTAGAAGCAGTGTTTGTTAAGGACCTACCATAATGTCTGGAACAAAGTTGGTGATAAATACACTGAATCAAAGGTGAAGCATCGCTGAATCTTGTGTGCAGTCACATGGCAGGTTCTATAAAAAGAACCTCGTTTTCAGTGAAGAGGTCAAAGAGTAGCTTCCCTGGTTGGCTTAATAGTAATTAAGGTGGAAAATGTTGATTGATTCATTTTCTGAAGGGTAAGTCTGTTACTTCAAAGTGAATGAAAATTTTAGTTGGCTGGTGAACAGTGATATACCCACCATGATCCTTTACAGTTACTACAGCTTTTAAAGATAACTTATTTTTGAACTGTTTCCTGAACTATGAGCAATTTAGGTTCTAGGTAACTGACTTTATACTTCTTTACAGATGCATGGTCATGGGGGCTATGACTCTGATTTTAGTGATGATGAACACTGTGGTGAATCTAACAAAAGGAAAAAAAGGTAAGTAATTTTTTATCGATCTGTGTTTCAGATCCTTTCCAGGTTGAGATGACGTATAAATAATACTGAAAGTTTCTGGATTATGTTTACATGTGAAGACAACAATGCTCTACTCAATGAATTTTTGTTCATTAAACTATAATGAATTGACTCGAGAATTTGAGAACAGTTATGTGAAAAATAAGAAAATGATGTTTATGCTGTGAAGAGATTTATGGAAGTGGAGGTGGGGGAAAAAGGAGACCAAACAAAACTTAGATTTCTCTGTTGCATCTATTTTTCATGCAACTGTTAAGGTCTTTTTACTTGTGAATGTCATAGCTAAGTACGGGCTTAGTTGGAGGTCCCTTTGCAAGTACTTGACCTCAAAATGAAGTTCATGTGGAGGGTGAGACTGTGCAGTTTTATGGTTTTGTGAATGAGCAGACTAAGTGTTTAAGTGAAGGAGCTCATGGAAGTTTTTATTGAATTGGAAGGGACAAGAACTGTCAGCAAATAAAGCCTATGCTTTATGAGGACTCTGCATCCGGTGATATTGCTGTGTTTAGGTGCATTGTTTTCAGCTTTCAGTGGTTAGAAATTGATTTCAACTGTTAACTTAGAAGTGATTGACTGATCTATATTAACCAAACTTATAAAAGTTGTTTTACTATTTCACACCGAGAGCAATATGTAAGGCATAGTGAATGGAACCGAACATTTTTGTTGGGTTCAGTATTCATGGGTGACCAAAAGAATAGAAATGATTATAACAAATTATGTTGTATGGTTCTTTATGTTTTAAAGATTTTTCACTTAAAAGTATTACTTTGTAAGTATAGAACTTGAGCAAATCTAGCTGAATAGTCTGTACTCTTCAGTTATATCTATCTTTATAACTAGGGCTGATCATCTATAGTCTATTATATCATTTATAATCAACCCTTATTCTTTTTTATATTATTGGTTACCAAAAGCATCAGTATCTCTACAAACAGGAAAATTGTGGCGCAAAGAGATTAAGTAGCTTAATCTCATTTAAGATTAAGATGGTGAAAAAAAAAAAGATAGTGAATGACAGAGCCCAAATTTGGATCCACGAATGTAGGTGGTCTAACATCAGAACCCATGCATTTGTTTGTTTCACCTTCTCCATTTTCTAAGTATTAAATAAAGTTAAGATATTAATTAAGTGATTTAAGGAGACCTAAAATGTCTCATTAAAGATCAGTGAGTCATTTTTAAGTTTAGACTTGAAATTTTAAAACATGTTCCAATTAGGAAAATAAAAAGAAACAAGAAACACCCTTTAAGAAAAATGAACTCTTTTAATAATTTTTCTTCTTCATAAACCAGGACAGTTGAAGATGATTTACTGCTCAAAAAGCCATTTCAGAAAGAAAAACATGGAAAGGTGGCCCATAAACAAGTTGCCGCAGAATTGCTGGATAGGTGTGTACTTCAGTGTAATTGTCCTTTTTTGGTTTAAGATGTTTTTGTAAACTCAGGGACTTGGGGGATTTAATTGTATTAATTAGAATATAGAAATTTGAATTTGCTTAAAATTTGTCTTAACAGGGAAGAAGCAAAAAATAGAAGGTTTCATCTGATAGCTATGGATGCTGTATCCTTTTTATACTTCTAGATTTTTATAACAAATAGAATATTTTTAAATCTACTTTTCTATTTCATAAAATCTTGTGAAGTCAGATAGACCTATATTATGTTTTTAAAGGTAAATGTTTATTGATGTGCAATCTTGTCATTTATACTTTTGAGTACAGTTCTCTTTTATTGATACATAAGAAAGATTTAGAGACAAAAATAATAAGACGTATTAGTAATGATCTATAAATAAGTTTATAAAATAGTCCATGAACTTGCAAATATTTTTCCAACCTGTTTTTGTCTGGCTCTCAAAATTTCTCATTTTAATACTGTTCTTATCTTTAATCTCATTTTAACTCTTATTCTCTTACTACCTGGTTCTTGGCTATGGAAGTTCTTTATGTGTCTAAAGGTAGATCTGTCTGTGGACTGTCCTCAGGCCTGTAGTTGCTTCAACTCTTAGGCATGACTTGGGGCTGTCTTTAAGCTCTTTCTTGCTTCCCTATTATAGTCATGTCTCACCTCAACTTTTTGGTAAGACTGTGGCTTATTACACTAACTGCTACCACTATCCATCCATACTACTGTTTGGAATATTGGGAGAATGAAAGAGAGGTCAAGCAAGACCTGAAGTATTTCTGGATGTTTATTACTACGGGCAGGATTAAGAGGAGACCATGGCAATTAGGTACATCCCCTATCTATTGACGTCTCTTTCATTTTGTTATCATTCCTAATCCTTTTCTATAAGTTATAGAAATCCTCTTATCACCGATTTATTTATTCCTCTTATCTTCTAATCCAATATCTCACCTTTCCCATGGATTTATTCTCATCTGCCACTTGTTCCTTTAACATTTCGGCATCTATTATGCCTTCGGTGACACCACTCTTTTGGGGGTATTGGGGCATCTAGTTACAGCCTGGTAAGAGTGAAGGTGTAGGTCCCTTTTTTGGCATTGGTGGAGGTAGGGCCACAGTTATTTCTAGAATTTTTGGCTGGAGTAGAGTAAGCGTTGTCTAAAGCTATCTGTCTTGTTAGGCTTCCTCTCTCTTTGTTATTCAGAGAGAACAGGCTTTTGTTGGGACTTTCCTTGTCTGTGCTTGTTGACATTTCCAGGTTGCCAGCTTCTTCACTTCCAATTCTGAGTTCATGAGGCAAAAAGAAAACCTGGGGAACTTACCGCCGTGTCAAACCATGGGTCTTGAACTCCCTAGCTATTAATGGATTCTCCTCCTCACTTTTAGGGTCTTTTTATATTTGTTTTAGATATAATTTCCAAGGTTTTTAGTTGTTCTTAATGAGAAAAATAGGGAGAAGTACAACTTTGCTCCATCTTCCTGGAAGCAAAGTCCCACTCAGCACCTGTTTTTATAAATAAAGTTTTATTGGCACATACCTGTGTTCTTTCATTGAGGTGCTATCTGTGCCTATTTTCATGCTAAAATGGCAGAGCCAAACAGTTGTGACAAAGACACGTTTACAGGTGACAAAGAGACCATTTACAGAAAAAATTTGAAATAGACCAAAAGCTGGAAAACCCAAATCTCTGGATGTCTGGATTTTCTCTTTTTTCTTTTCTGGAAGGTTAACTGCTTTATTGCCAGTATCATATTCTGATTCAATATTCTATCAGAACACATTGTAATGAATTAGGTCATTATTTATCTTTGATATAATAGGATGTAGTCAGACAGTATTATGAATGAGGTTAATTTTATTTGCATATTCAGCTCTGGAGAAAATACCTTTGAGCTTTTTAAAACAAGTAAAACGGTCATATATCTTGTTATATTGTGTTAAAAATAAACATGACTGAATTCTTTAAATATTAAAATAAATATAAAAAAATAACATTGTTTTTGAAAGCTTAATGTTAGGATTTAATATTACAAAAGTTGTATCTTCTATTTTAGAGGCTTTGTCATTACTGGAATAACTAGATCTTATAGTGATAAGAGTTAAATTGTATTCCATATCTTTAATTTTGGACACTATAATTTATTTTTCATAGTATTCTGTTAAAATAAATATTGATGTGAGGCTGTATGTATTTCAGCAATAGGAACAAGAAGTTTTCCTTCTTCCCAGTTGGAGATAGTATTTTATCACAAGAGTAGTATATGCTTGAAAAATGTTCAAAACAATATAAACAGTATTCAGTAGAAAGCCCTTCTATGCTACAGTGTTGACTCAACAGTTTAATATTTACCCTTTCAGATATTTTTAATTCATAAACATACATAGTATGTATTTACATATTTAAAAAACTAAGTAGATTCATACTGTTTGTCTCTACTTACTAGTATGTCATGGACACAGAACAACTCCTGAACAAATAAAATCCTTAATTTTTTGCATTTCAGTATCAAAGGCATACAAAGTTTGTAAATGACTATATTTTGTACTATGGTGGCAAAAAAGAAGACTTCAGGCGATTGGGGTAAGTGTCATGAAGTTTACATAGAATGGGAGGAAGATATGGATGTCTTTAAAGACCCACAGCTACTGTGTCTTCTGATTCTGCTCTCCATTCCAGTTTCCTTATCATATCCTGAAATGGAGAGGCTATCCATAACTTTGGGCTAAGTAGCTCATCATGAAGCCCATTATCTGGCAATAGGCCTCAGGTAGCCTGCAGAGCCGGATCTGCCTCAAGCAGTAACAGGATATGTGAGGAATACTCCGATGCCTGATTATGCAGTAATTTTTTTTTTTTTTTTGGTAAGGATTTTTGAGGTCATTAACTTTTTAGACCTCAGTGTTTGGGATTGCTTTTTTTTTTTTTTTTTTTTTAATTTTTTTTTTCAACATTTATTTATTTTTGGGACAGAGAGAGACAGAGCATGAATGGGGGAGGGGCGGAGAGAGAGGGAGACACAGAATCAGAAACAGGCTCCAGGCTCTGAGGCATCAGCCCAGAGCCTGACGCAGGGCTGGAACTCACGACCGCGAGATCGTGACCTGGCTGAAGTCGGACGCTTAACCGACTGCGCCACCCAGGCGCCCCGGGATTGCTTTTTAAAAGGTAGCGCAAACAGGAAAAGAAACAAAAACAAAAAGCAACTCCTCCCTGTAGTTGAGGCTCTTCTATCAGAGCCTCTTCATGGTGTGTGTTTTCTTTCTCTGACTTAATAATTTTCTGAGTTTGATAAAGTGCTAAAAAACTTTGTATTATCTCATCTACCTCATATTTATCTCCCCTCTCACTTTAGTCTGTATTCCCCAACAATCCCTTGTTCTGCCCCCAAACTGTTAACACGTTTTTTTTTAAGTTTATTTATTTATTTATTTTGAGAGAGAGAGTGGGGGAGGAGCAGAGAGAGAAAGGAGAGAAAGAATGCCAAGCAGGCTCTGCACCGTCAGCACAGAGCCTAACACAGGGCTCAGTCTCACGAACGTGAGATCATGATCTGAGCCAAAATCAAGAATTGAATGCTTAACTGACTGAGCCACCCAGACACCCCCAAACTGTTAGCATCTTAAAAATATCATCCCCTCTCTTCTGTTCTGCCGTTACTCAGTCTTTCTAGGAAGCTGTAGTAAAATGAGGTATGGAAAACTCTTCCATTTTTTAAATTTGATCTCTGTGGCATGGTGTTACTGATGTTTTAGATTCTAAAACTTACTTTCACTCATTTTTCCTTATCCAATTAGTGTTTATTTAGATTTCTCAAACTATCTTTGGTAATTTAGCACCATTTGTATAATTGAAACCAGTACTAGAGACGGATAAATGCCTTATTCATTTAACTTGTTTGTGTAGCAGCCCTCTTTATCAGTGTCTTTTGAAAAAACTGAAATCATTTTTATAAGTTTATGAACATATATACATATTCACACATAAAACTATCTTTATCTTCATGTATTTGTACTCAGCTATTAAAAAATCTCACAGAACTGTTTAACCTCCTAAATTTGACAAATTTTGTGTTTATATTAAATTGAAATAGTTTTATTTTCCAGGGAAAATGACAAGACAGACATGGATGTTATACGAGAAAATCATAGATTCCTATGGAATGAGGAGGATGAAATGGACATGAATTGGTAATTTTTGCCATCCAACACATAATACATAAACTGCTTTAGTCCTGTCTGTCCTGCTTGCTTCCTGTTTTCTTACCCTGTCACCTGTCCAGGTCATTCAGCCCCTGCGTGCAGGAGTTCTGAGTGGAAGACATAAAAACATGCCTTGGAGTAGTATTATGTTTGGTTTGGTTCTTTTGGTAATTTTTAGCAGTTTTTACTGACTTGTCATTGCTTGACTTTGTCTTGAAAATATAGTTTATTACATTTTTAGTGTATCGTTTGTTGTTCCATAATGTGCTTATTTTTAAAATATCTTGGGAAAAAGTAATACCTGAAATGCAAACATAACAAAAGACAAAAAGTGAGGAGTAAGGCTCCCCTTCTCTGACTGGCAGCCTTGCAGTTGCCCTCCCTGAGAGAGCCACTATAAATAGTTAATATTCAGGTATTCTATGCACATGTAAGGAATAGGCCTCTTTTAAAACATTAATATTTATATCATATGTGTTATTTATTGACATTGCTTCCAAGTAGTAAACTGTGGTTGGATTTCTAAATGCAAAAGATTTATATATTTTTTATGGATCTAGGGAGAAGAAACTTGCAAAGAAATACTATGATAAATTATTCAAGGAATACTGCATAGCAGATCTCAGTAGATACAAAGAAAATAAGGTATGCCTTGCAAGTATTTATAGAAGGTTCTTATTTAAGTACAGTATTATTACTATCATTATTATTATTATTATTGTTATTATCATGCCCCACATTATTCTTTTAAAGGTGCTAATTCAAGTCTAGGTTGAATTAGTCCTGCATCTATGAAGAGTCATTTGGACCGTTTAACCTCTACAGCTATGAAATTTACAAAGGGTCTCTTAGTCAAGGGTCTCTTAGTCAAGCTTTGTGAACTGAGGCATGAATAGTCTAAGATTAAACACAAGTGGCTACTGGATCCTGTTTCATCCTGACTCTGGCCTAGAGCCTCTACTGATTATAATGAATGATTTGACACTGCAGAATGATGTCTTGTCTCACAGATGATGTTTGAAATTGATAGACTTTTTTTTTTCAAATAAATTACCATCTGTAAAGAGGCAGATGCACATCTTCTTTTATATAAATGTCTATTCTAGTAGAATTAAATCTTACCAATGCTAATTAGTAATGGCAGATTTCTGTTCTCACTGCATCTTACTCTAGTTGATATTAAAGTGATTTTTATTCCTATCTCAAATTTCACATTTGTAACTAGAGAAGGTGACCCAGGAACAGATGATGTCAGTTTGAAATGGGTTGGTGGGGGGTGGGGGGGAGGGAATGTTGCATAAATCTGTATGTTTTGGCTAGTGTGCATTTGTATTAAGAAAGATAATCTATTTAAAAAGTTGTTTTAGATTTATTTATTATACGAATTTCTTTTTCATTTAAATAATTAAATCTCAGAATCATGATTGGTTTAATTTTTTTTTTTCAGTAGTGGCTTTAATATGTGAGTTGCTTCACAGTATTCTTATAGCTAATAGTATCTGTTTTTACAAACCCTTGGGTTTTGTTTACAAACCCATGCATGTCATGTATCCCAAAGATTTCCCCAGTTTCTTAGGAACTAGCTCTCCTGTCTGTACTAGTTATTGATCACATTAAATCCAAAAGGCATCACAGCAATTGGAGTTACTCAACTGCAAGTTGAGTATGAAATATAAATCTTTCTAAAAGCACATAATAAAGCAGCTTTTTCAATGCTGACTCATCTGTTGATTGTTTTTCAGTATTTATTAAGGACTGGGCAAGGTGTTGTGGATTAAAATGTGACTGCCCTTCAAAAAAACCTAATTGAGGGGAGAAAGTGTACATAAATCAATGTTAAATATTTGTATTCTCCATTTAAAAAACACAGTATATTACTAGAAATCATGCTTGAAAGAGGATAATCTTGAAATAAATTATATTTTCCTATTAGAACATGATGAGTAGTTAGATATGAGGGTAAATCCAAGTAAGAAATCAGAAATAGGAAATCTGGAGGGAGACAGATGTGTTGTTTTTTTTTAAAGACTTCATTTTTTAGGGGCAGTTTTAAGTTTACAGCAAAATAAAGGGGGAAGGTACAGAGATTTCCCATATACTCCTCACCCCATACACAGGGGGATCTTTTCTAGGAGGAAAGATGACTTTTTTTGGCATACCACATTTGAGGTTCTGGAAAATGTTAAAAGAGTAGTGCCTTTGATTTCCTTACTAGGATGCATTTTCTTATAGTTTTATTTATACAAAGACAGTGTTTTATTGATTTTTAAAAAATCAGCTCCTAGCTCAGTGCCTAATATATATAATAGATGGGGTATTTTTAGTGAACTCTAGCTTTTGTCCCACACACCTATTCCCTTCCTTATTACTTCTTCCCTTTCATCATTGAGAATTTGGTTGGATCATTGCATCAGGATTAGATTCAGCTGGAAGGACTGAAGCACTCCTACATAACACTGGCTTAAATGAGATAGAAGTTTATTTTTCTCCTACATAGGAATCCAAGTGGATGGTCACAGACTTTGTGTTTTCAGGAAGTTAGGATCTGTCTGTCTTATTACTTGCATATGTGATCTCTTTATGCTAGTGGGTAGAGTAAGAGGCAGTGGCTCAGCACCAAATCCTTAATAACTAACTAACTAGTAGGACATACTGTATTTGTTACATTTTTTATCCCCCTATAAGATTGTAACCTTCCTGATGACAGACAGTGTTTTTAAAAAAATTTTTTTAAATGTTTGTTTACTTTTGAGGCAGAGACAGAGTGTGAGTTGGGGAGGGGCAAAGAGAGAGGGAGACAAAGAGTCCGAAGCAGGCTCCAGGCTCTGAGCCATCAGCACAGAGCCCAATGAGGGGCTTGAACTTACAAACCGTGAGGTCATGACCTGAGCTGAAGTCGGACACTGAACCGACCGAGCCACCCAGGCACCCCTGACAGACATTTTAATAATCATTTTATATCTTCAGCAGAGTTCCAGGCCCAGTAAGTAGTTGCTTAATAATTATTGAATAGATTGGGACACCTGGGTGGCTCAGTCGGTTAAGCGTCCAACTTCAGCTCAGGTCATGATCTCACGGTTTGTGAGTTCAAGCCCCATGTCAGGCTCTATGCTGTCAGCTCAGAGCATGGAGCCTGCTTCGGATTGTGTGTCTCCTTCTCTCTCTGCCCCTCCCCCACTTGTGCTCTGTCTTTCTCTGTCTCTCAAAAATAAATAAATGTAAAAAAAATTTTTTTTTTAAATAATTATTGAATAGATTAATGAATGGAAGAAAAAGTTGGGAAACTTATTTTCATTTGACTGTGCTTCAGTGGACATCCTAACATATATGTTTTATGACAAGCAATCCTCACATACATGTATGGACTTAAGAGTAGAATTAAACAGACTTATTTTGAATGCTTTATTTTTTTCCTAGACTGGAGAGATTTTTTTTTTGGGGGGGGATTTTAATGAGAATATTTTCAAATATTTTGAGCTTTCATTTGCATTTAAAATACAAAATTGCCTGATTCAAGTAATAGGTGATTAAAAAAAATAGGCAAAGTTAAACAGGCATTGAACACTTCATCTGAATTATCTTAATACAACAACCTATAATATTGGGGTCTTTATTCATACAAAGGAAATAGACTGAGAAGTTAAGAAACTTTCCAAGGTCACAGAGCTAGTTAGTGAATGGTAGAACTTACATTGGGTCTGTATGATTCTAGAGCTGAGCTTTTAACCATTACAGTAAACTGAATAGAAAACTAAATAATTTACTATAATTTCAGGAAATTAACATGTGAATATGAAAGATCTTAAAAAGGCAGTGGAGAAAAAACATTTTTTAGCTAAAATACAAAGGTATATTTAGGAATCTGGAGGGAAGTTTAATACCTTTCCACTTTAGGGTCCAGAGGGTCCCATTTCTCTTTCTTGTTCATTACTTTGCCATTGCAGTGAGGAAAGAGCCATTCATGAATGAATGGTTGTGGTTGTGTTCTAATAAAACTTTATATGTAAAACAGGCAGCAGGCCTGTGAGCCATAGTTGCTAACCCTTGGGGTAGTATGTACCAGGTACTATTCTAAGTACTTTATGTGTACTATTCCTATTTAAACCTCTTAAAACCAAAGAAGAAAGAACTGTGTTATCTCTGCATTACGTATGAGGAAACTGAGGCACAAGAATATTTAATACCTTGTCCAGTTATAACCTGTTAAGTGGTGGGGCTAAGACCTAAAACCTGGATAATTCAACTCTTTTGCACTATAGTATATTGCTTCTTTACTGTACTATAATCTCTTTTTTTTCTGTCAATGTCATAAAATAATATATATATTTTTTATTAAAGGAGGCATCTTGTGGCCTAGCACCTGTACCTTTTAATAAGTAGTTTAAAAGTAAAGATTGTTCAAGGGGCACCTGGATGGCTTAGTTGATTAAGCATCCGACTTCTGCTCGGGTCATGATCTTGCAGTCTGAGTTCGAGCCCCGCATCGGGCTCT